GTTCCCTCTGTCCTTCTGCTGGTGTCTGGTAAACTGTGCTTCCGCATCAACCACCAGCTCTTCCTACAAGTGAGTTTCTTGACCGACTTACAGGGTAGGAAGGGGGTTTTTCACGTCCCCATGTGTCATCACTGCCCACCATCTTAACTGCTAAAAACCTTTAAGACATGAATAACGAGATACAGCCGGGGTTTATTTACTTTAACAAAAATGGCATCCCCTTGTCCGCGGCCGCGTCGATAGAAAACCTCGTCGACCCGGAGTCGGCAAGCGAAGGGCTGTCCAGACACTATGTCGTGGCGATGACGAAGATCAACGCATTTGGAGCCACTGACTGTCTTGTCGTATGTAAAATATCTACACGTGAAACTTTTAAAACAGGATTTTTACTCTGCATCGAATGCTAACTGTCCTCTCATTTGCGATACAGATCACGTCATTTCGCCAACGGACCCAACTTGGTGCTCCGTCTCGGCCTCTTGGTGTCAAGTTTCCTCAGGAGCATGATTGGCGACATCTCCTGTACCTCCCCATCGGCAAGGCCTCCATCCCCGCGCCTTCTGTCACCAACCCCATATTCGACCCGCTGCAGACATTCCCTTCCGATTTTTTCAAACACTCTTCGTATGTCTTCGCCGCAAGCACCACTACCATCCCGAACGCGGATTTGGAATCGACGGGTGCACACCTTCTTCCAGCAGACTTCTGCCGTCTCCAAGACCTTTTTTGCGAGTTGTTCCGCAACCGCATACCCCCTCGCGCCGTACCCTCTCCTGTGAGCTCGTCGCAGGAGAGCGTAGGTGGCGGACATTCGGGAGCGGGCAATCGAGGCGGGCAAGGGTCCAACGATCATAGCCAGACATCGCCGGATCCCAGCGGTGCGCCGGCGCCGCTTGACGAGGGAACGGCTCCGAAGCGTCCATGGTCAGCCGTTGCAAGGGGGTCTTCGGGTGCAGGAGGTCACGATCTGGATATGTACGTGGGTATGATGGCCGGGAAGCGGGGGAGGGCTTTGGCTTTTGCTGCAGAGGAGTTAGATTGAGAAACCCAACTTTCTTTTTTTCTTTCAATTCTCTCCAATCGTTCGAAACATTCTTTTCATTATTTTGACACATTGTTTGACAATTTCCCGTGGTTCCGTTTCCTTGCCGTGTTAATGTGACTTGTCGCTTTCCATGGTTCCGTTTCCTTACCGCGGTAATCGGACAGACAGGTCGCTGCCCATGGTTCCGTTTCGATTTCTTCCACCACGGCAATATATTTATTGTTTTCCAAATGCTTTCCTTTGTTACCGTGGCAATATAATATTCTTTTTAATCAATTGATTCCATACAGGGAGTCAGTACGTTACTCGAGCATTCAACACCTTTTGAAAAACTTTAGCCGCTTCTCGCCGTCCGTCCAGGGGTCGGTCGATAAACTATTTATTTTTGTCCACTGTCAATGTTTGCCACGCTTAATCACTTTTTGATATATCTTGTAGAAATGCTGGTGTTCTCGCTTCACAACTCTTATTCTATTACGCGCGCTCTTCATACCATCCGTACACCCATGCACTGCTTCTTGACCCAGTCCTATTAGCTTCGTTATCAAATCATTCCACAATGGGATATCTTTCACTCCCGTCATAAACCATCTATGGTACATATCATTCAAAGAACGCTTCACAATGTTAGATCTCACAAGATCGATAAGATCATCATAACACCTATCGTCTAGCGGAACCCCTCTAACCGCTATGACTGCATATACATCCACTGGAGAAACCCTTAGCTGTATGCCCTTATCATATAGGTAACTGTACAGGCTCAGGATTGCAGTCCGATGGTTGCCATCGTCAAACCTCTGGGCTGTACGCACTTCAATCGCTGATCTGCAAACGTGTTCCAAAAAAATGTCCTCATTGTTATCTTCACGTTCTAGAAAGTATATGTTCCAGGCTGGTGGGCGATCGTTAGTGTACGGCAAACGATAGCCGCAAGGACTCCCTGAAGGTGTCATCCCCTCTGTCGCCCACTCGTTGAGTTGCAGGAGCCAACGTGCCACCGAGGTGATCTTATCATTGGCACTGGACGCGTCACCTTCCACTGGTCTCCGTAAGTCGTCGGAACTGGTATCTCCGTTGTTCCTGGACGCAATATCTTCCATATCGCAAGAATCTGTGCACTGGATTCCGGCATCTCTGGTCGTGTCAATCCACGTATCTTTTACTATGTTTCTTATTTTTTTTTTGAATCTGTTGCTCGCCTGTTGTTTCTATTACGTAAACAAAAGTGTAGCGGGCTCTGCACACTGTGGGGTTCGAACCCACGCATCCTTCAACACTGGGTCTTGATTCCAGCGCGTTAGACCACTCCGCCAAGTGTGTTCCGATCTGAACGCAGAACACGGAGATTCCAAGTCAGAATGTTGGAAAAATATTCTATCTATCGATCGATCGATAATATGGATGGAAAAAATCACACACAATTCATCATCATCTTCGAGCAACGAAATGTTTCCAAAAACTATGCAAGTGATAGAACATATCAAAAGTCATAGGTGAGGTGGAGAGAGAGAGCCAGACTCAGTCAGGGGAAATACAGAATAACTAAGAGAGTTTCTATAGACGAGGGTGGGGGTGAGGAAGAGACAGTGCGTTCCATCACATAGAAGGACAAAGGGCAAGGCATATTGAATGAAAAAGACTCGAGCGTCGCGGCAGAAGAAGATAGGGTCGATATTTGCAGGGATTGTCCAGCGAACGGCGTGGTCGAATTCGGGATTTTTTTGAATGAAGTTGATCATTTTGCAGATGATGATGAGGTGGCCAAATGGGACATTCGTGATGGTTTTGCGAACGATGCGGCGACCAAAGAATTGGCGAATTTTGGCGATGATGGTAGTCATGGTTGATTTGGATGGTTGGGAAGTATTGAGAGCACGAAGCGTGTTTGCCAAAAAAAACATTTGCGTTCATTGGGCTTAGTTGTGGCACCGCGAGTCAAATCGGGGATGAAGAATCCAGAAGGTGTTGGAGACGGGCGGCGCTGCGAGTAGTCCCTTTTTTTCTAAAACTCACACATGCCAATTGGGGCTGAAGGATCCTGAAGTTTGGGAGACGAGAGACAAAAAAAAAGAACATTCCAACTGTTCGGAAAGCTCAGCGGGTATGAACGATCCTGAAGTTTGGGAGACGCGAGACAAAAAGAACATTCCGACTTTTCGGAGAGCTCAGCGGCTATGAAAGATCCTGAAGGTTTGGAGACAGAAACAAAAATAACATCCCAACTGTTCAGAGAGCTCCGCGGGGTTGAAGTGAACGGAGGCGCTTCTTCAGGGGCGCGGTTGGCGGCACACGGAAGCCGTTCGAGTTTATATGAATAGAAGTGATCCCCTATCCCCTATTCATTACACATTCAACATGCCCATCAACCTGCCCATCACGCTTATCGATAGCCGCAGCGATTT